TATATATATATATATATATATATATATATATATATATATATATATATATATATATATATATATATATATATATATATATATATATATATATATATATATATATATATATATATATATATATATATATATATATATATATATATATATATATATATATATATATATATATATATATATATATATATATATATATATATATATATATATATATATATATATATATATATATATATATATATATATATATATATATATATATATATATATATATATATATATATATATATATATATATATATATATATATATATATATATATATATATATATATATATATATATATATATATATATATATATATATATATATATATATATATATATATATATATATATATATATATATATATATATATATATATATATATATATATATATATATATATATATATATATATATATATATATATATATATATATATATATATATATATATATATATATATATATATATATATATATGCTTAATTAATACTTAATTCCCAGCTAAGCTCTAATTTTATCAAGTTATGCAACAAAATGTTCAGTATGCTGTTAGCAGACAAATCAAATTAACTCATGCAAGTGTGTAAAGTGTGAATTTATTTTCTAACAGAAACAAAAGTACTGTAGTTGAAGAAACATCTCGGAATGAAATAAAACAGAATAAAAGAGGGGCAAACAGAGAAGCATCAGAGGACTGAAGGAGGGGTTAATACTCTTATCTAAATTCTGAGCTGTGGAGGATTAATGTGGGCCGTTATGGAAAGAGGTTGTGGCTCTATTTTGGAGGAGGCTGATCAGAGCGAGAGAGGGAGCGAGACAGAGAGAGGTGACCTTCAGCGTTCTCCATAGTCTTTACAATAATGATGTCTGCTGGGATTTCTCATCTCCACTCAACAAGATGCCCCCATCGCCGTCAAGGTTAAAACAATTTCAATAGACTGTGCATCTGACACGTGCGGCCTGAAATTGTGTGTAAGTTTTGCTCTTGGTGCGTAATGTTTCGTATTGTGTTGTTGCAAGAGGAAACTTACTTGTATGTGCCAAGTGAGATTTTGAAGTGAGAATGGAATGAACGGTAGTTCATTAATGCAGACACTAATTAGGAGTCCTACAAATATAGATATATTTACCAGTTTCTTTTTTTTAAATTCAAGCTTTTTTACTGTTGGAATTGGGCTGACTGTCTGTCCACTGCACATCGTATTCAATTCCTCCGGTTTCTTCCTGAAAGGCATGTGTCTTCTCCGGTTCGCTGACTTTAACCTGTTGTTTTGAAGTAGTAATTGTCCAGGCCGGTGGACTGTGAAAGCCTTTGGTCGTCCTGTTGGGAGTCCGAGCTTTGCGTTCGACACATCCGTCTAAATCAGATCAGCCTGTGCCGACTGTTGACCAAGCAGTAGCAGTCATCAGCTCCACACTGCTGTCTTTGCATTTCAATGGGTCAAGTGCTAATGCAACGGGAGAGTGGATGTGCTGTTTTTTGCGACTGTAAAATATGATGAATAGCAATAAGCCATTCAGCCCTGCAATCAGCAGCAGTTTAAAGCTGGAATCAAGGCTGACACGTTGACAAACGGAGAATATGGTGCATGAATAGACTCTTTTTGGACTGTCTTCCATCAAGCATTGATTAAAGTTGCAGTGTCGCTGCATTCTGGAGACAATAGTTAGGCTTTTTGCTTTTTTAGGGTATTTTTTGAGGGTGAGATCTGATTGGCTCTCCGTTCGGTCTGATCAGAGTGAATTATTGCGCCCTTGAGATGAGCTTCCTGTGAAAGGGAATCTTAAAGCAGGAGTCGGTGGTGATTCATCACTGTTCCCGAGTTCTATTACACATATAAAAATCCCCTTTCATCACATCTCTGTTGGCCCTTCAACGGTATCACACAAGATTCATTAATATTGTAAATCTGCTTTTATTGCCATTTTAAACAGGCGGATTCATAGAGTTGTACCCGGCCACTTTTCTTTTTTGATCAAACACAAAGAAAGAGCGAAGACAGGAAGTGAAGGAACAAGGAAGACTTTTCTCACTGACACTGACATGAATTATGATTATGATTATGTATGAGTCAGCTAATGTCTAGCCAGACTTTTTGCACTTTTCGTTCTTTTTCTACAAAGCTTGCTGGTCATTGTGGTCACTTGAATAGAAGTTGTGAGCTTTGCCAGCACACTAAAAGTGTAAAAACTACTCAGCCAAGCATTTATGCCTGTCAGAGAAACCATTGAGTGGAAGTGGTCTCGAGGGACGTAAAAGAAAGAGATTTTGCTTTGAAAAAGGCTTGAACAACAATGAACACCTTTAGAGAAGCGAAAAGCTACCATTTAAGCGACGCCTTAAATTATCTCAGGTATCCGTCTGCTTCTAAAGACATAATGAGGAACTAAAAGGAGACATGATGGTCCAAAAGTGGCCTTCTGATATATGATACCTTTGTGTAATGCACAGTCAAAATTGAAGTTGATTTTCACTGTTAAACTTGTGGTAACCTCTGAGACTGAATCATCGAGTCAGTGTTTTGAACTAGAGATCCAAATCAGTTGTTGACTCAAATAACCATCTTTATTGTGCACAAGTCAGTTGAACCACTTTCATGGTGTCATTTTGGAGTGTGACAGACAGCCCCAGTTCTCATTCACTTTCATTGTACTGTTGCATGATTTTCATAGTACAGGCAATGGGAAAAATGAGATTTTATGCTGGTATTCAGAGCTGTTGGACTAGATATCTATTTTAAAAGAATATTTCACCCAAAGAATGAAAATGTTGTTTCCAATCCAGATGACTTTCTGTCTTATAACTGATTGTACAGGTTGTTCTTTTCCATGCAATTACAATGAATGATGACTGGGGCTTTCAAACCTCTAAATTGGCCAAAAAGCACAGTAAAAGTGATCAAAAAGTGGCCTTCTGATAGCTTTGTATAATGCACAGTTAAAACAGAAGTTGTTTTTCACTGTTAAACTCGGGGTAACCTCTGAGACTGAATCATTGAGTCAGTGAGTTGAAGTAGAGATCCAAATCAGTCCGTTTCATGAATGAATCATTTAGACCAGTTTTGTGAGCTTGATTAGCCTATTCTTTTAAAAGAATCCAAAGACTCCAAAGAATAATTTGTTCACCAAGTTCCTGATGCAGAACTACTGTATGGCTTTAGAAGACTTAGAATATAGTTGTTGACTCAAATGAACCACTTTTATAGTGCACAAGTCAAATTATGCACATTTGTGATGTGATTTTGGAGCTTTACAGTTTTCATTAGTGATTTTCATAGCATAGGCAATGAGAACATTTATGCTGGATTTTATGCTGGTATTCAGAGCTGTTAGACTAGATATCTATTTTAAAAGAATATTTCACCCCAAAAATTTAAATGTTGTTTCTAATCCATATGACTTTGTCTTATAACTATTTGTACCGGTTGTTCCTTTCCATGCTGTTACAATGAATGATGAGTGGGGCTTTTAAACTTAAAAAAATAACAAAAAAGTACTATAAAAGTGGCCATGTATGATCATTTTGAGTAATGCAAACTGAAGTTGTTTTTCAGTGTTAAACTTGGAGTAGCCTCTGAGACTGAATCAGTAAGTCTTCAGTCCAATTCATTAAGGAATCATTCGTTCATGTTTTGTAAACTCAAAGACTCATTCATAAAATATTCCTCATGAGTATAGTTGTTGAATCCAGTGAACCAATTTTATAGTGCACGCATCAAATGATCCACTTTTGTGGTGCCATTTTAGAGCTTGACAGCCATAGTTCTCATTCACTTTCATTGTATTGATTTACAAATTACCTTTGTGTTTCGCAGAAAAAAAAAGAAAGTTAAACAGGTTTGAAATGACATGAGATTGAGTAAACAACGGCAGTGTTCATTTTTGGGTGAACCATTCCTTTAAATGTTCTATTTCACCGAAAGCCATCCATGTTTATTTCCCTCCATGATTGCTTTGGCAATCATTCTCAGACTGCTACATAACAATGCACTCAAAAGATAGGCTCATTTTAAGAGATATTTAACCTTCATGTTGAAGTTTATATAACAAGATTTTACTACTGATATCTTTATTATGTCACGCTTTCTGAAATGTATGTATGTGTGTGTGTCCTCCACAGGTCAGTTGGCAGTAGGCACATGTGAGATAGTGATGTTGAATAGAGACAGCAGTCAACCCAAGCGCACTATCGCCAGGCAGTTGAACCTTAAACCACATAAACACATTTCATTACACCAAATACACAAAATAATGTTCTTTTTAGCAGCATCATATGACCCCTTTAAAGTTTCAAAAATGTAGAGATTACATTAAAGATCCATCCATCCATCCACCCATCAGCATTTAGTCTATATACCTATTGCTGCTTCTCATCCGGTCCTCATATCCACTGCATTATAGAGCTCAACAGAGGGATTTAGAAATTTAAAATGCCAAAATTTCCATGACGAAATTGATTTGTAAATGTATGAATATTTCATGGTACAACTGCCATAAGTTCTGAGGTGAAGCGTCAGGATGTGCTTCTGTACAATCCATAAGTAGTTTCTACTTCATTTAGATTTATATTAAAATAACGAAATAAACAAAAAATATATACATATATGCGCACACACGCATGCATACAGTACAGTTTTTTGCAAATTGCATTTGCTTTCCATTGTTGTATGGTTTGTTATGATAGGACAATATTTGGCCGAGAAACAAGTATTTGAAAATCTGGAATCTGAGGGTACAAACAAATCGAAATATTGAGAAAATCACCTTTAAATTTGTCCAAATGAAGTCCTTAGTAATGCATATCAAAAATTAAGTTTTGATATATTTACGGAAGATAGGCTCATTTTAAGAGATATTTAACCTTCATGTTGAAGTTTATATAACAAGATTTTACTACTGATATCTTTATTATGTCACGCTTTCTGAAATGTATGTATGTGTGTGTGTCCTCCACAGGTCAGTTGGCAGTAGGCACATGTGAGATAGTGATGTTGAATAGAGACAGCAGTCAACCCAAGCGCACTATCGCCAGGCAGACAGCCCGCTGTGCCTGCCGAAGAGGACAGATCGCTGGCACCACACGGGCCCGACCAGCATGCGTGGACGGTGAGATGCATCCCACACACACACACACACATTCTCACATTGTGTGGATGTGCACACACATATATCCGTTCACAGCATGCAACAAGCCACGTCATGTCATTTGACTTCACTGTTGAATTTGCATTGCATTGTTTTTTTTTTTCTCGTGTCAAAATCCTGTATCACACAATATAACACAATAGTCAGACTTGCTACATGTAAAGAACTCTTCCTCTCTGCAATGTGTGCTGTGTCAAAGTCGAGGATGGATGAGGATCGCTGAAAAGGGAAAGAAAAAAATTTAATCTTTGGATTGTGTCTGTCACTGCGGTTTAGGAGGAATATTTGAGCCTGTCTGTTCTGCCGAGCGCCGGATGTGGTGGAGTATCTCATGAGCTTTCAGCCTTTCTTAGGTTGTAAACCTGAATATGATGGTAGTCGTTGTTTCTGTAGCAAATAAACCCAACTCTCCTGACAGCTGGGGTCGTGTAGTTTGTTTGTTTTTTCAGAGCGATGGTGTTTTTTGGTAAATGCTATACAGCTTGAGCTCTTCAACGACACATTAGTAGCACTTTGTAACGGCAAGACCAGAGTAATTAACCAAGAGAGTACCACAATTACAGCTGTGGGAAATTGATTTTTATTGGCTTTCTCTGCTGCCTTCATGCTCCATTAGTAGTGGATCCATTAAAGAAGGACCTGTTGCGTGAACACGCACACATGCTGTAAAATTACAGGTTACCTCATGACTGCTGTACAGAGAAAATTAAAGGGGTCATATGATGTGATTTCAAGTTTTCCTTTCTATTTACGGTAGGAAATTTACAAAATATCTTCATGGAACGTGATCTTTACTTAATACCCTAATGATTTTTGGCATAAAAGAAAAATCGATAATTTTGACCCATACAATGTATTGTTGGCTATTGCTACAAATATACCCCAGCGACTTAAGACTGGTTTTGTGGTCCAGGGTCACATATATATATATAATGCTCTGATTTTATTTAACTTATTTAATTTAATGTATGTATTGGTAAGATTTTTTATGTTTTTGAAAGTCTCTTATGCTCACCAAGGCTGCATTTATTTATCACAAATACAGTAAAGCAGTAATATTGTGGAATATTACAATTTAAAATAACTGTTTTTCTGTTTCAATATACTGTCACGTGGTCTTTTAAAAATCATACTAATCATGCTAACATGCTGAATTGGTGCTCGAGAAACGTTATTATTGCCAATTTTGAATACATTTGTGCTGATGAATAGACAATTCAAAAGAGCAACATTTGTTATTTATTTATTTATTTAGATGTTGGTGGTGCTTTAATTAGGGACTTTACCACTTTTTGTTTTTGAACGTTCTACGCTTCAAGCTAAAATGATCTAAATTTTAAAAATGCTTCAGGGCTTCCAGTTAAGATTACTTGCCAGATTAGTTGACATGTCCTTAAGGCAGCCCACCAATATTTATAGTTTTGCACATCGCTAAATCGTTACTGAATGGCTTTTTTTAAAACCATGAAAAAGAATGGAAATGTATTTCCTGAGCTCACAGCAATGAAAAACTGTGTGCACTCTGTTGAGCTCTATTCGGTCAGATGGCAGTCTGCAGGTGAGGCTGTGTCTGGCAGATGAGTCCGGGGGGCAGATGGTCAAGGGTCCCGGGGGAGAGAGGGAGGCTATGCGTGGGTCAGGTCCCTGCAGACGTCTGAATCGGTGTAGGTGTGCTGGACGGAGCCGGCTCAGGTGTTGCATGCGCACAGAGAGACGAATTGAGTCATGATGCAGAATAGAGGTACCTTGGGAAACGGTGTGTGTGTGGGTGTGATTCATTCTATTTGAAGCTGGATTTGTTCTCTCTTTACAAACGCAATGGTCAGTGGGTGGTATCTTTTTTCACATGCAGGGAGGAACAGGAAATTATCCGGTGCATGCGTGTTTATATTGATTCTCGTGCCGCTGCTTTTGTGTGTATTTCTGGGGGGATTTTGCATATGTCTGCCCCATATACAGTGACCCTGAAAGAGAAAGTATTCTTGTTCTATCTATTTGCAAGCAGTTAATGATCAGTGAGTTTGGAACGGAGGCACACGGCTCCCCAGGAGGCCATGTGTTCACTGGCTGCCTCTACAGCGGAGAGCGCGGCTCAGGAGCCTCATCAGGCTTCACATGAAACAAATAGGGTACGAAAATATCTGCTAAACTCTGTGTACGCTGTAATCTGCCGGTCTCTGCTCCCTGTGTGGCCTAGTTAGAGCACTTCAGCGTACCCAATGAGACATGTGTGTATTTGCATCTCACATGCATTAATGATAATTAAGGCTATATTCTTATTTTACATTAAAGGCTTGTTTTTAGATCAGGCCTTTAAAGGCGGCGGTGGATCAGCACCTTTTTGGTTTTGTATATACAAGGTATTTTAGGGTGAGATGAAAAGGGAAGCAGTTGGAAATTACTGAGGAAAACCAGCTTTGAATATACTGAATGTGTAGAATCTGTTCTAGTTCAAAGCAAACAATAGTGCTAATATGAGTACCAGTCACAGCTGTTATGGGTAGCAGTTCAAGTTGGTATTAGTACGAGTGTGTATTAAAGTGCCCCTATTATGTGTTATGAAAGGTTAATATTTTGGTTTTGGGAGTCCCCAACAACAGGTTGACATGCATGCAAGGTCAAAAAACACTCTCATTGTCTTATAATATGCATTTATTTTTACCTTACTTGCTCAACAACTCCCCAATGATTCGCTCAACGATACATTTTTCCAAACCCCTCCTTTGCGTGACGCTAATCTGCGGTGATTGGTCCGATTGGTCTCATTTTCATTTCATCATGCCTGTAATGCCTGATAAAGCAGCGTTGTGAGCGCAGTGCTGCTTTGTGCACAGCGTTATTTTTACGGCTCCAAAAGCGGCACCTATTGGCAAAGAATGAATTTGCATTTTCATTCAGACCAAGTTTTCACGTTTTCCCGGGTCTGCGCGCGCAACAAGTGGGCGGTCCAATATGCTAATGTTTCATGCTGACGGCTTGGAATTCGTTTAAAAAATGACTCGTTTCAATGATTCAGAGTCGACTCTTTCTTTTGAGAGACAATAACTTTATACACGGTGCACTTTCAGATTTAAAACGTTGCAGGATGTTTTCATTCACTTAGAGCTGTGTTACACACTGCATGAAAGGTAATTTTCAAAAATCCATAATAGGGGCACTTTAACTCTAAAGTCAGTTTTAGTGCTAGTCTTGGATCGAATTTTTTTTTTAAAGAAACACCAAAACCGAAATTAAAGTTCTTATTTACCAAAAAACTGAAACTGAAAATAGATTTTATTTAGTAATCAATGAATTACTCAAATGTATTTAATAATCAACAGTAGTATATTAACATTTAAATTGGACATAATTCACACAATGACGCAATTTCTGCTCCAATTCATTGTTAAAATATAAACATTTAAACAGTGGCTGTAATAAAAATTGTTTTCATGACAGATTTATTTAAACGTACATTAAATAATGAAGACAAGTTAAATATGTACAAATATAATGAATATATAATATAATGCATATTTATTTAAAAACTTCTCTCTAGAGAGTTTTTTATAGCTGGCTAATAAACTATGTGATCATTGAATGTCTTCTCTGAGGTAAATGTAACATTAGGTGGCATTGTTTACAAGCTGTATTATTGATGTCTTTCCACAGTTGATATAACACATCTCAGTAAGTTGTTTCATTCAACATTTTTGGAATATTTTCGGCTGCTGAAATTTCTGTGCATCACAAAGTGATAGTTAATAGTCAGTACTACTAATAAAGTCAGGACTAGTATTAGAATACGCACTAGTGCAGATAGCCCTCGTATAAGTAGTAGTTTAAACTCAGAGCTTGCAAATCCAGTACTAGTATGAGTAGCAGTTCAAGTCAGTATTAGTATTAGTATACTGTTTGTATACTTATTCAAAGTCAGTTCCAGGCTACTTTGGGTACTAGTTCCAAGTCAGTACTGGTATGAGTATCAGTAGTATGAATACTAGTTAAAAGTTAGTACTCGGGCTAGTAGGTGTACTACTACAAGGTTCTGCTTCTAGTGTTAGTATGAGTTCTAGTTCAAAGTCAGAACCAATAATGTAAAGACTAGTGCAAGTCAGGGCTAGTACTAGAATAAGCATAGGACTACTGCACAGCCAGATCTAGCCTTAGTAAGAGTACTAGTTTCAATTCAGAACTTGCAATGTGTAAATCCAGTACTAATGTGTGTACTAGTTAGTGCTAGTATGAGAGGTAAAATTCAGGACTGGTACTAGAAAATGTGATGTTTCAAAACCAGTTTTGTAGGCATACTAATTCAGGTCATGAATAGTGCTAAAGCGAGTTCAAGTTAAAAGTCTAGACTAGTAGTAAAATGACCACTAGGATTAGTGCAGAGCCAGACTAATGCTAGATCTTGCAATGTGTAAGTCCAGTACTAGTTCAAAGTCTTAGTGCTCCAATCAAAGATGAAAAAACAGTATATTTTAAATACAATACTAGTTGTTATATGAGTACTAGTTTAAAGTCTTAATATTATAGCTAGAATGAGAACATAGAATTGTTAAAGTCATTCTAGTATGCTTTCTAGCTCAGATCAGAACTATTATGAGCTAGTAAGCTCATTATCCGTATACAGTACTAGTATAAAACTGGTTTAAAGTTCATTTGAAGTCAGTACTAATAATAGTATGAGTAGTATAGTTCAAAGTTTTACCTTGTTACATGGATCTGGTACAATAGCAGCCAGGTGTTTTTCATTTGACATGTTTCACATGTTGGGCCAAAATGTCACGCCTAGTGTTCAGGTGCTCTGTGTGCTCTCAGTAGATATTTCTCACAGATGTTAAAACTAGTCCACACACCCCAGTACTTCTTTCAACTAGATTCCAACTGGAGTGTGCAATCACAACCGTTACCTCAATATAGCCATTCCTCAGCATGAAGCATCGCAGCTCAGACACCCTGACCGACTGCACGCTAAATACCTCGCTGAAGCATTCCAGCTTCATTTGAGCTCATTGATTTTATTTAGTGCTCTTTGTTTTCTCTCTTCATGGCCCAGTTGTGTTTGTGCTTTTGAATACTGTCCCTCGGAGGGAGGCTTGTTTATGTGATGTGGGATGGATTTGATTGTTTTAGGCCCCCTGGGGACTAGAGGACTTGGATGAGATCTGTAGAGCTGGCTCGGCCGTCCACAGCTTTTGCTCAGCATCGGTTTAAAGGAATAATCCTTCATTTCAGCCGCGCCACTTTACTTTGATAAATTTAGGGATGGAGCTTTGATAGGTTATCACACGCAATATTCATAAGGACTGCCCTGAAAGACCTGCTGTGTTTCAGATCAAAAAAATGGTTGTAAACATATCTTAACAGCGTCTGGTGACAGGAAATTTCGAAAAGGACAGCCGAGCCTTTGTGCGCAGAAAATTGCATGGACTGAGTAATCAAGGAACTGAGACCTCACAGGGATGCTATATTAATGAAATTGAGGATTTTGTAGAATTTAAGGATAATCTAAATCCTGGAAATGTATTCTGTGCACATCCATGTTCAGTTACGTTTCGTTTAAAGGAGTAGTTCAGATGTAGATGTAGAGGAGTTTTTTTTTTATAAAAAACAGATTTGGAGAAATGTATTACATTACATCACTTGCTCACCAATGGATCCTCTGCAGTGAATGGGTGCCGTCAGAATGAGAGTCCAAACAGCTGATAAAAACATCACAGTAATTCACATGACTTCAGCACATAAATGTATGTCTTGTGAAGTGAAAAGCTGTATGTTTGTAAGAAAAAAAAAATCTATCATAAAAATGTTTTCACAAAAAAAACATTTTTTTTTCTGGCTAAAATATAAGGCGTTATAATATTGCTTTCTGCAGTGAAAAGGTCATCTTGTCTGAATCAGAAAATAAATATGCACAGATTTAAAAGCAAAAACAGTTCAAAAGTATTCAAATATGTTGGTGGATTTTAATGAGACCGAGCAACAGGAGATGGAATTTTTCACTGGAGGAAGAGGTATTATGGATTATGGACTTGTATTTTGACCAGAAGTGACAGTTTAAAGTTAAGAACATCTTGATGATGGATTTGTTTCTCACAAACGTGCACCTTTTCACTTCACAAGATGTTAATTGATGGACTGGAGTGATGTGGATTACTTACTGTGATGTTTTTATCAGCTGTTTGGACTCTCATTCTGACGGCACCCATTCACTGCAGAGGATCCAATGGTGAGCAAGTGATGTAATGCTAACTTTTTCCAAATCTGTTCTGATAAAGAAACAAACTCATCTACATCTGGGATGGCCTGAGGGTGAGTACATTTTGACCAATTTTAAGTATTAACTGTTCCTTTAAGTAGTTGAGGTTCTCATAACATTCCTTTGGAGAAATGAAAATAGAAATGAGAAATGTTTGAGTTCATATTGACCTTGGTATTCTGTCAAGGAGTTTGAAATCTTTTCTGAATCCTTAGATGTTTGTGACATAATGAGGGAATATTTTTTCTGTAGAAACATTTGAGAAGCACAAATATGGTCTCCATTTGATCTCATTGCTGTCTCGGAGAAACAGCTGAGTTATTCAAGGGATTTCATTTGTTATTTTTCTTTCCTGGTGTGCAGACGAGAAGCAACCATCTTCGGATTTTCTGATGCTCCACATCCTCTTTGACCTGTTTTGTTCTCATCACCCCCTGAATGCTGGTTGATCTGCATCTGAAGCACAGGAACAGCAGGGGTTTATGGAATTTTACATGGATCTACAGAGCAAACAAGAGAACTGAAAGCGAGAGCCTCAGTGCATACACATGTCTGATGTAGCTCTCTTTGAGTTGTTTGATGGTTTCGGTTCTATGACGTGAAGATAATGAAGTGTGCAGTGAATCAAGGCCTGCAGGCTGCTTACTGAAACATGCATGACTTTGCCATAATCTCAAATCCACTTTCATACACAAATCCATATTTTATGTGGAATATAGAGGTTGGGTGTTTTTTTTGTGATGCCTGTTGGATCTCAAAGGTTTGTAGTAACAAAAATCTTATATAAAAATCCATTAAAAGAAAAAAAATATGACAGACGTTATATACAAATTATAATTTTGCATGTAATCCTCTTATTTTTACCCATTTTTGTTAAAGAATATATAAATACCGTATTGGAGACTTTGTGATAATGTGAAGAACATCTAAACAAATTTTTTTTTTTTTTACACTATTTTATCTTTTTGAAGAACCTGTTATGGCCTTTTAGCGTGTTATGAAGCTTTAAAAAGTTATATAAATTATCTAATTTGTCACCACTGATTTTAGCATTGAAGACTATGTGACATTGCCTAGTATACCTAAACAAATATGAAACATGACTATTTCATTAAAAAAATTAAAATGCAATATTTAAAATGAGCCTTTTTGAAGAACCAGTTTTCATTTTTGCATTTAAGCGTGTTATGCAGGTTTAAATAGTTATGTAAATTTACCCTAAAATATTACACATTTTCTAAAATGTAATCGTCTCATACTTTGTGGCATTATCAAGAATATCTAAAGAAAGCATATTTTCATTTTTTTTTCTAAAATTAAAATAAATAAATAATTACTTTAAAATTTGAGAAAGTTTTCCAATTTGAGTCTTTTTAAATAACCCATTATCGCCTTAGGCTTGAAAAGGTTATGTAAATTATCAAATTTGTCCTAAAAATATATTTTCTAAAATGTAGCCCTCGTATGTATATATTTTTTATAATGATGTACACCACATGGTAACAGCACATTTTGCAATTTGTGCATAAGTTGCACATGATTTGTTGTGATTTGATGTGCAAAGTGAGTTTATATTGATTTATTTACGGTTTCTCCATCAATACTGAATTGAACTGAAATTTATTTCATGTTTTTTTTGTAGCCCGGATAGTGAAAAGCAAGCAGTGGTGTGAGATGTCCCCGTGTTCAGAGGGTGAGATCTGCGGACTGATCTTCAATCGCTCCGGATGGACCTGCACCAAAGGCGGCGGCCGCATTAAAACCGTCACGGTGAGACACGTTCTAAATATCTGTAACATTTCATTTATTCACTTAGTTGACGCAGTGTTGCATCATTCACACCACCTGTGTTTCATCTCACGTTCTATTGACTTAATCATTAGTTAATGAGCATACATATATATACTGTAGAAACCTCATTAGAGATTTTAAATATTCATATATATTTCTATTTTAATGTATTGTACATCAGCAGCTGATCTGTTTAGCAGTATGTAATGTTTGCTCATTATGCGTTAATGAAAGTTATTATGCAAGGGTTAATGTAGAGTCAGTCTATCATTATTGCAAAATAAACCCTGACGGGGTGATCAGGACCGCAAGGCGACATGTAGGGGGTCTTATATCACCCTGAACGCGTTTACTTTGTGATAATTACCATCTGACTGTACGGTATTTTATGTAAATGGACATTTGAGTTGTAATTATTTTATTATGTGAGAAGAAAGACACCTCAGAGTGATGTGAGAGACATAAAACTAGCACAGCGAATTGGTTGCCTGAGACAACAGTCAATTATAGATTAATGGTTCTTATGGTACAATATTTGATGGCAGAATGCAGCGATTGACCAATCAGAATTAAGTATTCCACAGAGCAGTGTACTAAAAAGTAATACATCCTTTTTGGCACAGGTTGTTTTCACTAACTCCACCCAACATTGCTCAGGTATTTTACTTTTAGTATAATAGAATATGTCTTCTTTTTAGACTTTGTTAGAATAGCATCTACAACTATTTGCATTTTGTGTAAATAAGATTCTGTCTTGGTGCAAACAGTACCTTTTTTAAACCCTTGTTGTCTTCAACTCATTTTTCCCATTTTTATTAAAGAATGTATAAATACCATTTTTAGGATTGAAGACTTTGTGATATATTTGTCATGAATTATCTACAAAAAGCACATTTTCAGTAAGTTTCCGCAATGCATTAAATAAAGGGACAGTAAAGATTTTAACATTGTTACAGTACAAATTTTTTTTTTCAAATAAATGCTGTTCCCTTTCAGTCGGTCACTCCC